CAACTATGAGAGACAAAATGGGGGGGGAAATCCAGAAAATCACATTGTCTGATTTTTAAAGGATTATGTTTAAAGGCACAAAATAATTTTCACTAGTGAATTTGGTAAAACTGAGTAAAACATTTCTAACAACATGCAATCATATAGCCAAATAAAGCAAACAAAATGGAAATAACAAAAGCCAAAGCCAAAAGCAAAAAATAACCCCAGGAAATGTAAATTAAACAGCCTACCTTCCCCTCAACTAGGATGAGCAAGCAAAGCTTTAGAATGGCATTCTTCAATGCACCAAAAGATTGCTCTGAAAGCATTCATTTAACTCAAGTGCATAATGTTGGCTAGATGAGCATCAACTGTCTTTTATTGAACTGATTTTACGTAAACTTTAATTGTATTTCTATTTCTCCTAAAGATTGCTTTAGGACCAATTAACTTTTAATGCTAATTTTGTATTAGTATTTTATTACTTTTATCGTCATTTCCTCTTCCTCCAGATGCTATGTGTAAACTATTTTGTGTTTACTGCTGTAGTTTTTAACTAAGAGAAATAAAACATAATCCATCTGAAGCAAAGCTCCTACAAGAATCTTCTGCATGAAAATAATGTGTCGGGAGATTAGGTTATAAATGTCTTGTATATTAAAATAGGTTTTAATGTGCCTCCTCTAAGATTATAAAGGTAGATACCTGATGGAATTCAAAGGTATTTGCACAGCTCAAGTGCTAGCAAAAGGAAAGAAGAGGCAAGATCAACAGTGAAATGTATAAAACAGAGACATACAGTAACATTTATCTGCCTAGCATATTTCAACAAGTTTTTTTCAGGATCAAAACACAAGTTACGCAATACAGCAAGGCCCATGCAAAATGTGGCAATTCTGTCTGACCCTTTAAATGACACCAAATCAAAGTATGTTGTATGCATCACATGATTTGATATTTTGACCCTTACTTATTAGAGGTCAAGAGGACATTTTCCCTATAAAGATTAGATTGACTATCAACAGTGGAGCAATGACATTCCTGCAGCTTGCCTTACTCAAGAAAGTCATCTGTAACAACCTGTTCTCCTGGTCCTCTTGGAATGGCATCACAGCACACATTCTTTGCTTCTCTTCCCCACTCATAATCTGGATTAATGTGCATGTGGCCCTTTCTTTGTTATTGGGTCAACATATAATATGCTTTTTGTGCTTTTCCAACACTATAGATATCTAAACCCTATCACAAAGATCTAGGTTAGAATCCCCCCAAAGTGATGGTTACCTTCTTCTCTTTGCCTATGTGAAATCTCCACTGCTATGGAATACTATGATGTTCCCCCGGGAGATCTGGATGGCTCTCCCTAATGACATTTAGGAAGTTATCGAAGACCTAGTTATTCTCCTAGGTCTTGAAGCAGATTGATCCTTGAGCCTGTTTTGTTGTTGTTTATATACCTTTATATTCCAGACACCTATGATTTTTTTAAAATTGTATTGTTCTTACTTTTTAAACTGTAAGTCACCCAGAGTCATTAAGAGCAACTTCTAGACTGACTGATATAAATAAATAAGTAAATATATACCCACATACTAAATTCACCCTGCATTTGAGCAATCATAAGAGGAAGGGGCCACCAAGCAAATGTCTAACTGAGACCAAGGAAGACGGAAGGCAACTCTGATAAACTCACTTGCAAGGCAAAAGAAAACATTTCCAAGCACCATAAAGATGTCTGCTTGAGAGCTGTTAATGAGAGCCTTTTGCAATCTAAATGTAATTAACCAATCTATAATCGCTGCAGGAGGACCAATTCCTCTCACCCTTCATAGGTAATGGGCTGTAAACATTTCCAGACATTAGCACAGCCAGGAGGCACCACCCTCCCCTATCACCACAAAGACAGGAGGGTTCTGTCTCTCCCCCCTCTCAGGCAGGGGGACCAAGCACCATAATGAAGCTTTAAATCACGTCCCACATCCAGTAATTAGCTTGGAATTTAGTTCACCATATATTTGTCACCTGCAGATGTCCAGAGCTTTGCGTGCATCCCCAGAGAAGGCAGAGACTTTTCTAGCACAGAACTGGATAGCAGCATTGTCCAACACCTGCTCCCCTGACACCTAAAGGAATAAAGAGGAGAAAACAGGGTAGTTAGCAAAAGTAACGGTGTCCTACATCTTTGGAGAAAAAAATGACAATGTGATTTGGGCATGTACAGAAAGTAGTTCTTATACTTAGTTCAAAAGCTCTCACTCTGCCCAACTTAATATCCTTAATTCTCTAACTTCCTACCTTACTTATTGCCATTAGGGATTAGCTCAACAAATTAGCTAATTTGTTCTCAGCTGCAAGGAACCTGAAGGAGTTCCTAATGTAAAGCAGAAGATGCTGAGAAACTCAAATAACAGTTCTCCAAGTGACATCAAAGATGAATGCAGCTTATTCCTTCTATAAGTTGCTTAGGACCAAGACAATAATTTTTGAATCAGGCTGCTGAAATATTACCTTCTTCAGGCGTTCCTGGAGAATGGAAACAAGTTGATCTTTGCTGTATGGGGGAAAGTTTAACAGCTGTGGCCTGCACATAGGCCGGGCCTGCAGGCGGGGCAGGATGCGATCAGTGAGATCCAGGGCATTGGCTATACCTACCAAACAAACAAACCTCATTTATACTTACCAAATAAATAAATACATCTCATTTACAGGATAATGATGGAATTGTTTACATCCTATCCACCCACCCATAGTTTCACTAAGAACTGAAGGAGTCCCTCTTTCCAAACCCTGGAGCAACTATACTTTTACAGTACCTATCTTGTACCTGCTGTTTGATGTACAACTCGCCTCTCACCACTAATGCCATCTATACTAGTTCTGATTAAATGCACAAATAAGTTCAGGAGGAAAATATTTCATATTCTCTCAACACCTCGCTAACCAAAAGTACAGTAGGGAAGCAAACTTGACTTTCCAAACTAAGAGGGTTTTTTGTAACTTTATAACAAGCATGATTTTGTAGATTTGTAGGTGCAGTGCTTATATCACACCTTTGTGCTTCCTTTGGTTTATATTGTACAGATGATCAGTGAAAGGTTTGTAGATTTAGGTTTGGGTGGATGGTCCTACAGGCTGGGCAAAGGACTGGTCTAGCTAGTTCTGGTTTCTCTTAGAATGCTATACATCTTTCAGATGAGCAATTAATTAAAGATTCTTCTTCTAATTAATAGATAAGTGGGAATGGACAATCCTAACAGAAGGTGTGACATACAGAATATCCTCACAGATCCACATCCTTTTGAAAATCCCATTACTCTTTCTGCTTCTAACTTAAATATGCCTCCTTCCTTCTCCTCCAGTAGTTGAGAAAGAAGGAGGCACAAACCATAGAAAGATAGCTGAGCAACAGCCAACATGGATGAGCAGCAGAAGAAAGGCACTGAAACCAGTAGTGGGCAAAATCAGGCCTTGGAAAATGCTCAGCTGTGTACATTCATGATTTCAATCATGAGGTCTTGCAACACTATCTTAACACTCGTTTTCTTAAACTATCAGGCTAAAGCTTTAACAGCTCTGATACTCACCAATGAGAACGAGCCGAGAGTTGGGAAGGGAAGGCCACTCAAATATTGTATAGAGTACATCTTGTCCCCTGCTATCCAACTGATCCATCTCATCTAATACAACCAAACTGCATGGATGAAAAATATCAAGAGTGAGTACTACCTTCCCAGAGAAAGAAATATGCAAATGTAACAGATGACCAACAGCAGAGAATAAAATCCTCAACAAAATACCCTTCAGATGCAAGCAATCCCACTGGACGATGAACGGACTGAAATGACACAATACTTGCAAGGTTCCCAACCTACAGAAGACTGAATAAAATGCTTTTAAAAAGAACATGTGGTTCATTATCCAAACCCACAGATTTATAACCTTCCCCGGGAAAATCCACTAAATCATAAAATGCTGCTGCTTAATGTCAATTAAGAAAATATATTGTAGTCTGAGATCTAATTCTGAAAAAAAAAACTGAGCTGTCATTTCAACAAAATATGGCTGTGTAAGGACATAGGAATTGGCTTGACTAATTACATCCACTAGGCTTTCAAGGATAACAAAATATAAGACTCAGTGGGAAGGAAGGTGGAGTTACATTGGATTATCATAAATCCATTCTTCTATTGAAATGCTGTCTGACCAACAGGTTAAGTACTGGGAACCCTCTGACCAACTATCTCCTTGCCTGAATTATTAGAGGCTGCCTCAAAAATCATGACTCTTTCCTCTAATTTGCTTGTTCTGGGAAACTTTCACATTCATACCAAGGTACTGCCATGTGATGTAATTCAAGAATTCATGGGTTTCACAGCAATGATTTCCCTGCCTTAGTTCATATGCAGCCCTGTGTGTTTTCAGAGCATACACCTGATTCAATGTTTAGTTTCAACCTGATTAACAGTCTGTGGTGCAAATTATTTTTACATGGACATTATTAATAGTGCTTAAGTTTATTGGGACATAAAACCTCTGCACTGGTCTGGTGGATCATTAATTTGGTTTGTCTTTGGAGATCAATGGGTCTGGAAGAATTTGTGAATGCTCTGGAGAATTTTCTAGCTACTGACGCTGGCAATCCTATCCTGATTGATATGTGGGGTGGGGATATGGATAACTGCCACAACTGATCCCAAATATCCTCCTCTGGGAACAGAACTCTACTCTTCGATTTTCCAAGAAGCTTAAAGCAGTGAAGAGCCTGGAAGATAATTAGATAGTGGTGCTCTTGCGACTGGCACTGATCCTGGAAGGTCAGGTTGTTACCAGTGGTCAGGAATGCCTCTGCCCAGCTTCACTTTCAATTGTTGCACCATCTGTGCTTTCACTGTGATTTGTGTTTTAATTACATTTTATTTACATTACTTAACACTATGACCTTCATAAGTATTCAAAAACTATAGCTGGTGTATAATGTGGCAGTTAGATTGCTTTCAGGAGTATGTTTTTTATAGCACATCAGACTACTATTGGAACAATTTCACTGGCTTCAAGTTTTTATGGGTGAAATGCAAGATGCAAGTTTTGCCCTACAAAGGGACAAGATACTTGAAGGGCTGCCTCCTTCCATATGCACCTACCCATTATTTACATTATTCATTGGGGGGGAAGATGCAGCAAAAGCTTTGAGGTCACTACTTGGCATCTCCAGGTAAAATACAGGAAAAAAAATGGTTTGAAGAATAGTGGCTGTGTTCAGAAACATCCAGGTTCAATCCATCACATCCCTTCCTAAAGCAGAGCAGGAAACCTCTCTGTCATGTTGTGCTAGACAAACCAACAATCTGGCTAAAAAAGGCAACTTCAATTTTATTTCTATCCCACATCTAAAAATGTGAGGTTACAGGATACTTGAGAAAGGACATCTTCAGCAATATGATCCAAATTGTGAAAGTCCCTCCTAAGAAAGATAATATTTTATTTTCCCTTACTCATTTCAAAACTGCATTAAAGGCAATTCTCTAGGTTTTCAATGCTATATAATCCTAGCCATTTAATTATATAATCTAAATTTAATTGTATAATTTTTGCTTCTTTGTTTCTTAGCTCATGGCACATTTTAATTGATCCCTTTATTGTATGCCATCCCCAGCATTTTAATAAATTCATTTCCAAAAAATACATCCTCTCAAACTCATAAATTGAAGATTATATTTCCAATTATACAAGTAACAATTATTTTTTCCCAGTTTTGCTATTACGCTCCCTCCATGACTATTTTAAAAGGTGGTCCTAAAAAATCTGGATATCTCAGTATGTTTTTCAAAATTAACTAGAACAGCAATATATATTTAAAACATCAGCATTAATTTTCTGATTTGGGCAACTTTGGAATATACATACAGTATATAATACCTTTGGTTGGATGGACAGTATTAGGATTTAAATATACTAAAACTCTGTTTCGTCAGTTAGAAAGCTATGGAACGTAATGTCTAATAAAAAAAGATTTGACCCTTTTTCCCATGCCACATTGACTTTATGA